CTGCTTTTAACTGTTTTGTTTTCTTGTGAAAATAGTTAAATTTAACTTGAACACCAGAGCCAGGCGCACTGCGCCGTTGTCTCTGTCACTGTAAATGAGGGAAAAACAAAATGATCGGATCCTTTTCTGACCTCCCCCACCTACAAAGTTTAATTACAACAATCAAATGTGACAGAGCCTGGATTTGTATTCTGAACAGTCTAAACATGTTTTAAAAAGAAACGTATGACAAAAGTGGCACCTGCTCAGTAAAACCACCAACAGGGTGAAAAATATCAAAATACTGTAGGCAGAGACGGGCTACAACTTCTGGATCCACTTTATATAAATCGTTTTATTGATTATCTTCTTATGAAAGATAACTTTGACGTACACGAGCGACCGGTACCGGCTGCTGTCTGAGGGTAGGCCCCGCCCACAACGCCGCGGCTGCTGCGGTGTTTTCTTTACTGTGGGAAACGGGTAATAATGGCTCTTTGATGGGAACAGGTTGCCGACCGTCTATGCGAGGACAATAAAATTTTGAGGTTTTACTTCTGGGGGCAGAGTTGCAATGACATGCGCACTGCGTTGTCCTAGAAGCAATTGGACAGGGATACAGGGCCAACATTACCAGTAATCAAAGATGTACCCGTTACATTTAAATCGGATGTCTGGGCTAATTTCGGTTTTGGGATCCTGGATGTGAAAGAATCACTTAACACAGTATTTGTTTACTATTTTTAAGTTCAGTAATATTCTATCTTAAAGCTGCTCTACCGAAAACATTATTTCTTATATTATTTAAGTAATTATAGGCAGCACACTTTAAACATTATTGCTCACTATAGTGAATAGATGAATGTTCTGTTTTTCAGGGATTTTGAAATCAAAAAGAAATTGAAAACTATTCTTCTGCTTTTATTAAGTAATGAAAATTTTTGTGTGAAGAATCGTGATGCATTTCAGACTCAAATCGAATCGTTAGGCAGATAATCGGAATCGAATCGAATCGTGAGGCAGGTAGAGATGCACACCACTACTAATGACATCAACACCCTATAGGTGTGCATAATTATTAGGCAACTTCCTTTCCTTTGGCAAAATGGGTCAAAAGAAGGACTTGACAAGCTCAGAAAAGTCAAAAATAGTGAGATATCTTGCACAGGGATGCAGCAGTCTTAAAATTGTAAAGCTTCTGAAGCGTGATCATTGAACAATCAAGCGTTTCATTCAAAATAGTCAACAGGGTCGCAAGAAGCGTGTGGACAAACCAAGGCGCAAAATAACTGCCCATGAACTGAGAAAAGTCAAGCGTGCAGCTGCCAAGATGCCACTTGCCACCAGTTTGGCCATATTTCAGAGCTGCAAAATCCCTGGAGTGCCCAATCTAGACCAACCGTAGAGGTAGCAAGGTCGCAGGTCAGTCTAGCCATGCTTTAGGCCTCAGCAGGTCTTCCATTGGCCTGAACAATTTTGGTTGGGCCAATCACAGCGCTCTACGTTTGTAAAGACATTGGGCGAGGAATGGCGGTCCTTTGAAATGGACTGGGTGTCAACTTTGGATGACTTAGACACAGACTTTTCTTTAAGGCATGAGTAGATAGAGGTAGTTGTTGGACTGGTTTCCATCACTATGAATGACACTATTCGTGCTCTGATTGTTTTTTGTGCTGTCCAGTTACGTGTAGAGACAACCGTAGCTTTCCGCCCCACGTCCAACCTCTGTCTGTAGCCAAGCTTGGTTTCCCCAAGTATTTCCCAAAATCCATTTGTTTTAAACAGGGAAAGTGAAAAATAATCCAAATCTGCACTTGAATTGCTCCACCTCTGAGTGGTAGAGTGTAAGTGAAAGAGGATGGATCCAGTGAACAGGGCAAAGTGAAGTTCAGGGTGACACTTAAGAACACCTGTGATTTCACCGTCAGTCTCAGATTACAAAACCGCCTGCTCTCTGTGCTGTGATTTCATAAGAGGCTTTGAGAGCTATACCACTAGCCCTGTGTGTGTGTGTGTGTGTGTGTGTGTGTGTGTGTGTGTTTGCGTGCGCGCGTGTGTGTGTGTGTTGCAACATTGATCTTCTGCACTGATCCACAACACTGAGGGCAACAACACTCGTCATTAAGGCATGTCATTCAGCACTGAGAGGAATCCTGTTTGTAAACAAAGCCATGGCAACCATGGGACTCGCACGCTCTCATGCTCTCCTTCGCAACTCTGAGATCCCGAGTTTAGTCTCAACTCGTCCCGATCTAGTCATCTGCCTGGATATGACCCAGAAATACAGCCACTGGAACAAATAGGTTCCCCTCTTGTGTTAACCTCCACCGTGGTAAAATGATGGACATAAACTTTGGTCCTTCTTACCCCCTCAGAACTTGACCTCCCCTGTTTAGCATCCCTCTCCTCTCATACACGGCGCTAGCCGCGAGGAAACCCGTAAAGCAGCTTAAAAAAAGATTTTCTCTTATTTCCCTCTGGGATAAATAAAGTACCTTTGAATTGAATTGAATTGAAAAGAAACATATCTCACCACCTGCAATTGGGAGCTCGGTTCAAACAACATGGAAGGAAAGAACAAAAGGAGGGAGAGGTGGGCAAAGGAAATGAAGGTGTTTTCACATGCAGACATTCAGGGTGGAGGAGCTTTGAATGGCAGCGTCTGAGTGAGATTACACAGATTCTGTAATTGCAGCTTCAGATAAAGCACAGCTCTTGGCAGGTAGAGTAAGAGTCTGCAGAGATGTGCCCTCATTTCCACTCCGACACTGTACGGTGTGTGAGTCATAAGCATTCATGCGCGATCAGGAGTGTGCAGATTTGTGTTTGTTTGTGTGTGAGGCATGCACAAGTGTGTGTGTGTGTGTGCGCGTGTGTGTGTGTGTGTGTGTGTGTGTGTGTGTGTGTGTGTGTGTGTGTGTGTGTGTGTGTGTGTGTGTGTGTGTGTGCGCGGGGGTTAATGAGCCTACTGTCTTAAACGGTGGGCAATGACAAGAAAACAAAATGAGCAGTCCTCGCCAAAATTACCTATGCACAAGCTGCTCTTAGCACACACACACACACACACACACACACACACACACACACACACACACACACACACACACACACACACACACACGCATGCATGCATGAGCACATATATAACACAAGCTGATTGCACCCCCACTTAACACCTCAGTGCCCAGCGGAAGCTCACACACACAAGTCAGTAAATCAGCTTTCCCGTTACTACAGCAACAACATACTTTTATGTCAACTGCAACCCAGTTACTATGGAGATATGTATACAAGAGAAACTCTGTGCTGCTGCAGTCGAGGGCTAGATGACAGCATATTGTGTGTGTGTGTGTGTGTGTGTGTGTGTGTGTGTGTGTGTGTGTGTGTGTGTGTGTGTGTGTGTGTGTGCACATCCATTTTGTTCCTGCACACACACGTAAATAAATAAACGCACATATTCTGGTCAGTGAAAGCTAAAGGAGCTCTCATATCATTCGGTATAATCTCAGTGAACTGAACGGGCATTGACCCACCCCCAACAACCCCTCGGGCAAGTCAGATACTAAAGTCTGCTGGCATCTGTGTTATTAAATCCTCCAGTATTAATTTAGCACTAATTGGGTGAGGGATTCGCTCTCTGTCTACCCTGAGTGAAATCTGGATGGGAAAGCCGGTATTAAAGGCAATATCAGGACTTAAATCAAAAGCGAAACGCTCTTCCCACCGGGGAGACACAGAACGTTGAAGCGAAAGAGAGCGATGGAAGGAGAGATCATCAACTATTGATAAAGCCGATTCTCGTACAGCTGTAGACAAAATACAGAATGTGTTTGACTTCATGTTGAATGTGCCTACAAATGGCTTATAACTGTCTGACAGTGAATGAAGGTCCAACCACACCATAGGGTGTTCCGGAGTTATGCTATGGTTATGGACAGAGTTCTCCATTCCTTCATCATAGGCATGGATGTCAAAAGAATTTGGAGCTTTAAATGAATGATTCAGACTTTTTTTTTGTTTGTTTTCTGAAAAGATTTTTCGACAGATGACGTTTTTTTAAAGACAAGTTTGACACAAGGTCAGAATTAAACATGCAGGTATGCATTCCCATTCACGTAAACCTTTTAGTTAGTGGTGGTAATCATCTCTTTATAAGTGATCGCGGTTGACTGCAGCAGGTAGTTTCTCTTTGTATTCGTTTTGACAGCATTTATTAGACTGTCTCATGGAAGAAAAATTGTCAAGATGTTCAGAAACAACTCCAGAACCAGCAAGGATTAAGGCTTACGAGAACTTGGAGCTGCTGGAACATCAGAGATCCTGTCTATTCTCAAACCAGTTACAAGAAAGAAGCTCAAGCTCCAAAAGAGACACAATGAACTGTCCACATGAAAAACTGAATGTCATCTGGAGAAATGTTTTATGGTCAGACAAAGATTAGCACCTTTGGCCTCAGTATGTTAAGCAGAGTCAAGATGAAGCTTCATTGTGAAGCATGGCGGTGGTAGCATCATGATCAGATTCCACCAGAGATTTTCTGTGATAAGCTATCACTCAGGATAAGGGTTTTTAGTGACTTTTAGCTGCTGCTATAACACATTTTAGTTACTTATCTGTAAAGTTGACTGAGTTGTAGCTATTTTTGTACTTGGTCTTATCCTTTATATGTGGCAGTCATTTTGAATTAGTTTAACGCCACACCATTTTTCATGAATCGAGAAAACCAACATGAATTAAAAGACTTTCTGAGAGCTTTGTTAAAATCCAAACAGTGGTCCATGATGTTTTGCTAACAGACCAACAAAAACATGGACAGACTGGCAAACCCATCACTAAGAGGAACCGTAGACTTATCTGCTTACTCTGCAATGCTATATAAATGCTTCTATCTTTAAACATGTTGGTCACTTCATCTGTGCTGGTTAGGTTGGTCTCCATTAGCCCAGCCAAAGCCCTGCTATAAGAGTTTAACTGGGAAGAAACAACACCAGAGCAGCTTGGATAAAAAACGATTTCTTTACCTGACTGCGATCTTTATCCACCTTCTTGAAACATTTGTTAAGAGACAGATTGTGTCTCACAGAGTTCTTCCAGCCTGTTGGGGCGCTTGCAAAGTAAGGGAAGTGCTCCAGAATCCAGCCATAGATATCCTTCACCGGCAATCGTTTGTTGGGTGCATCTTCAATGGCCATGAAGATCAGACAGCTGAAGGAGTATGGGGGCTTTCGGTTGGCCCCTGCTGTTAAGTCATACGCTGAGTGTGCATCGCCAAGCAGGGCGTCGTCTGGGGAGGGAGACAAGGATGAGGGCGAGCGGGGATGCTGTCCGTCAGGGTCCTGCAGTGGGGAGACGCTACGCAGCCCAGAGTGGCTGAAGCTGTTTAGGAGGTCGGTGCTCTCGTGGAGCCAGGAAAGGCTGGTGAGCTCCTCGTCCTCAGCCTTGGAAAAGGAGGCAGAGAGAGAGAGGGACAGATCGGCTGCCTCGACCTCGGACGCCGCTGTGGCAGCATCCCCCTGTTGGTACGGCGGGCTCATGCCCTGAGAGGCGCTGGCTCCACTACTGGGGCTCTGAGCCTTCTTACTGGGGGGCATGGTAGGTCCCATCCAGCCCAGGGCTCACTCCTAAAGAGGGAACATAAAAGAAACAAGGTCAGCGGAGCTCTTCACATAAAGCCTTCACTTTGTAAAAGGTCAAAGGGAGGAAACTGTTTTATTACACCTGCAGTTACAACAGAACATGTACATTATCATTTCTCTCGGGAGCTTTCTGTCTAATTATGACTGGTGCAGCAAATTTAGTGCTTCAGTGGTTGAGGAAACTTCGCCTTGTACAAATACCTTCTAATTGTAACAGCAAAGTATTGACGTTACACTGGGTTGCTGTCCTAACACATGGAAACTGTTAAAGGTCTAATGGTTACGGGGACACAAAACCATACCGGTGATATAAGAGGAGAATGTAAGTGTCAAGGCTGGTGCGATAATTGAGCGTACATAAAACCTAGCTAAATTCTAAGATTTACACCATCAGAAGCAACGCATGCTGATGGGACTTAGTTCCACAGCGGGGCGTCCGTGACCTGACCTGATTGTGATCTGAACAGTTTACCCAGAGAAGAAACAAATGAAAGTGCGAGTTCAAATCCATCCCCGCTCCAATCAGACCATTACCCTGCCAACGTAAGAGCAAAACTGAGCTTGTTACACGCAGGCAGAGCGCAGTAATTGAAGGGGAATGGGTCCACAATTAGAAGGCTCACAACCAGGCCCTTGATTGTCCTCTGCATGGACAGCTGTGGGAAGAACCCCTGCAGCAGCGAAATGTAATCTAGTCACACCCAGCCTGAAGACACACACACACACACACCAACAAACATGAATGAAAACACGTGCAGAGATGAGCGTGCTCACAGCAGCGTTCGGACATGGGGGATTAAGTTTTGATACGTTCTGGTGCGATCTCTCCCTAATCCAAGGTGATCATCGGCCGATCTGTCCCCTCACTCCGCGTGATTGACTGGCAGCTGTCACCCATGGCAACACACTGTAGCGTGACAACTGTCAGCTCGCAGCAGCTCTGGATGCTGTGTTGCCATGACGACAGAGCAAAACAACTCATCTCCGTTTCTCGTCTGCTTATCTTCCTCTTTTATTCCTCCTCACTTTTTTTATCAGCTCAGATAGTCGCTTTAACAGTGTTGACAGACTGCTGAGCTAAATATAGATTAGTGATGTACAGTCGCCGTGCTGCTCAGTCGGCCAAGCCTGTAGTCACCTCGCCGCTCCATCCGACTGTCTCCATGGTGGAGGCAAACGCTTTGCGGAGTCGGCGTGCCTTTGATCCCTTCTTCTCCTTCTTCTTGTTCTCCCCCTGACGTCTGACAGCATGCCCGCTCATTCTACAAGCTGTACCTGTCTGAGGTACGACGCTGTTGCACCAGTATTGACATTGACCATAATGAATTCAAATTGCTCTGGCGACAGTAATGCTGTAGCTGAAAACAGTGAGCAGATAATCAAAGGGATGGGCTGGATGGAGAGGGACTTCAAGGAGTGTGTCTTTGTGTGTTTTTGACACTCTTTGTCAGGGTGTGTGTGTGTGTGTGTGTGTGTGTGTGTGTGTGTGTGTGTGTGTGTGTGTGTGTGTGTGTGTGTGTCTTTAGGGAAGAAGAAAGGACATGGTTGTGACATTGTTCCTGGTAGGAGTCCACTGGAATGCAGAGATGCCTCTGATGCTCTCCTCTTCCTCCTTGTTATGTTGCCATAGCGGCAAGGGGGCCATGAAACATTACGGCTGACAGTAAAGTCATCTCATTTTACTGTTGCTATGACAACAAACTCCTCACTGTTGGTTGGGGCCACTGCGAGCTACCGCCCAAGCCTCGTGCCTGAGACGATGTGTGTGTGTGTGTCTGTGTGTGTGTGTGTGTGTGTATGCCACCACATCTCCCCTGGGCTCTCATAAAGCTTAACACACTTGTTCAGCTCTAAACAAACTTCCATGAAACTTCTACATCGGCCCCTCAGGACCAACTGCTAAAGGACAAATGCAGATATCGCTCAAGTTCAGACTAAACGGCGCTTGCCATGTGTGTGTGTGAGTGTGTGTTTGCACACGAGTGTGTGTTAGGAGCATCCACACATTTGTTTGACAGATGGGACTGTGCTATTCTCTCTGTCTTCCTCATTCTCTGGATCTCTTTTTTGTTTGTGTGCTTTGTTTTGATTTGTGTTTAGCGTGTCCACGCTTGGCTCAGTGTGTGTGTGTGTGTGTGTGTGTGTGTGTGTGTGTGAGCACATACTGTTCTGTAAGCACACAGTGTGGTGTGTCTTGAACATTCTTCAGGTAAACCTCTGCACACAGAAGCAGCTAAAATCAGCCCAGTGTGTCTGTTCTCTCTGCGACCCTGGCACCATGCTGCTTGTGTTTGCACTGCCTACCCTGAGCATACAGACTTTAAAGGACACCATTCATTTGCAATGAATGACTTTCTAGACTGGAAACACCGTTCTTGAGCCGTTAGTGGCTGGTCATGCACTAACACTAGAATGGTGCTAATATTAATCAGCCATGAATTACAGTAGATTCAAGGAAACACTGACAGGTAACAACAGCTTCTAATTACCCTGAACCTTTTATTAAGTAGCCCAACACAGTCAAGGGTATATTTTCTAAGGTGGCAAATTTAAAATGTGACTTGTTCTGTTGTATTAAAGACCAAGTTCACTCATTTTTTAATTACATTTGCAGTTGTCTATAGTCAGGTGTGCAAATCAGTGGTCTGCAGGTGCGCATGTGCTGTCAAAATAAACAATGCGCACCTGAAAAAAAGAGGTAGCACCCATTTGCGCACCTAACCCCGGCTTTCCACAGGAGCCGTCAGCAGCACGTTACTGCAGCAGCACGTCATAGCTGCTGATAGGAACCGCTGTGGTCAACAGAACCTTTTCCACCGGAGCCGTCAGCAGCGCGAGTCGGCCGCGTCTCAGGAGCAGCATGTCGCGGCCTTTACGCGCCGGTTCTATTTTCTACGCGCGACGCCTCTGAAACGGGTCAAGTTCGACATTTTTGGGGAAGGAAAGACAGGAAATCGGACGCGAAAATGGAGAGAAGCTCCCGAGATTTTCAGAATAAAGAACGTACTGCCTTCCAGTTGCTTCACTTTAAAAAAACGTTACTAACTGTGCGTCCCCGTGAGAAGTTATCACCTAGCTAGCGGTCTCGTTTGTTTTTCAGGTCCGTATTGGCGATTATAAAATGGACAGAACATAAAACACAAACCATGTTGTAATTTTCTCCTGCTTGTTGTTGTGTTTACTGACGAAGTCACTCGTGTGACTTTGTGCTCTGTCGGTGACAGCTGCTCCCCTGCTGCTTCGCATCTCGTGGGAAGGGCCAAGCAGCAGCTCACGCGAGCAAGACGTGCTGCTGCAGTAACGTGCTGCTGACGGCTCCCGTGGAAACCCGGGGTAAGATTTTGTGGAGGAAGAAAGACATTTCTGGAGCATTTTAAAGATGTCCAAGAAGCAAGCTCCATTAAGTAATTATTTTGGTGTTCCTCTGCCTCCAAAAAAACGTCAGACTGTGTCATGGTCTGCGTCTGCCCCTTCCTTCATGTGTCTCCTGATGTTTCTCCATCCTCTCTAGATTCCCTTCTGTGTCTCATAGCGCCCTCACGTGTCCTTTGTCTCCATCTCAATTATGTGTCTTATGTTTGTAGCCCTTTAAAGTAAATTCCTCCCAGGTCCTGTGTCATTCATTCATCCCCAGCCCTCCAGGTCTTCCTTCACGTTCTGTAGCTCCAGCCTCTTTGTCCCTAGCTCGGTGTGTGTGTGGCCATTCCCCTGCTCAGTGTGTGTGTGTGTGTGTGTGTGTGTGTGTGTGTGTGTGTGTGTGTGTGTGTGTGTGTGTGTGTGTGTGTGTGTCCAATCCCCAGTTCATTGTATGTGTGTATGAGTTTGTGTGTGTCAGTATGTGTATGTGTTTGTGTGAGTCCATCCCTCAGTCTTAGGTTTAAGTTTATCTGCCCTCCATTGGTTCTGTTTCCCCCATTTAGATAATTTGTGTCACCTGCCTTCCCTCCAGCCCTCACTCCACACACCTGCTTCCTGTTTCCTTAATTATTCTCCCTGTGTATTTAAGTCCTGTCTTGTCTCTGTTTGGGTCGGTCCATTGTGGTAATTCGGTCAGTCTTCTTGTTCCTATCTCTAGTGCTTCTTGGTGCTTCTCGTTGTCTCTAGTGTTTTTGATCTCTAGTTTATATTTTGGACATTTTGGATTTTTGGCTTCCAGCCTTTTTGGATTTATTTATAGTTTGGACGCATCCTGAAATAAAAGGATTTTCTTTATATCAGCTCCTGCCTCATGTCATCCGCATTTTGGGTCCTAACCATCTCCGTATCGTGACAGACTGAGTCGGAACTGCAAAAGATAAAAGTAGTCGCGGAGAAGTGGCTGCAGGAGGTCGGCTGCCTTCAAACAAACGATGAACGCACAGAGATGTGGTGCAGATCATGCCATGAAAATCCCGCCCTCGCAGACAAAAACACCGCCTTTTACATAGACACTAAAAACTTCAATCATCCAGCGTTTGATAAACATACTAACAGCAGAGAACATCAGAAAGTTGTCTGCTGTGTATGAACCGGAGGAAGCCAGTCAGGATAGTGAGGATGATGATGAGAGTCTGTAGAAATAAAAACGGCATTTATGCCATTTTAAAAACTTCAGTGCTCTGAAATAGTAATTTTGTTAAGGGTTTTAAATTTTATTTGATTTGATTTGTTTTTACATAAGCAGTTGTTTACACATTGTGTTTTACATTCAGACAATTCAGTCATGTTATTTGAAAATTAGAAGGTTTAAGTTAAGCTGGCAATATGCACCTGTTGTACTTATTGTTTTCAGTCAAAATTAAAATATGTTGCATCATCAGCACGTTACTCTGTTTTGTTCCTGTTGTGAGTTGGGTTAAGAATTAAGTGCATTAAAAAATGTGAGGACCAAGCAACAACCATAGGTTCTCCCCTGAGTACCAATCCAAAAATATTACATACACCCGTGTCTATAGTATAAATTCCTTTCTGTTTATTTATATAGCGCCAAGAGTTGTCTTAAGATA